AGCATTAAATAAGTGTAAGATTTCTATTCATCTCCTTTTCAATCAATTTGAGATATTAACACCCGCTGCTGATAAAGCTGAATTTTCCTTAAACAATACGTTTGACTCGTCTGGAGTGTCCCTGCCTAACTTCCCACTTAGAAACGAGTCTCTGTTGACTGATATGCATATAACTCTTTCCATTTTTCCTGCTATCATCTCTAACCTAGATCCCCACAAAGCATGTGGACCTGATAGCATCCCTGAAATATCAGTGTTCTCTCGAACTGGCTCCTGTTCTCTCCAAGCTGCATAGTAAATGTTTCGCTGCCTCCTGCTTTCCTCCCTGCTGGACGAGATCCTCTCTTGTTCCACTCTGTTGAATTGCCCGATCCTTCTAACGATCGGCCCATTAGCCTTCTACCTCTTTTTGGGAAACTCCTAGCGAATTGGTTCATCATCTCTCATCGCAAGGCCTTTTTTTCAGACAAGCAATAGGGCTTTCGTTTCTCTAGGTCAACTGCTGATGTACTGATGATAATTGCGGAAAGAGTCTGTCATACTCGAGATAAAAACGGTGAAACCCGGGCTGTAGCTTTGGTCATCTCGAATGCTTTTAACGGAGTTTGGCATACATCTCTACTCCACAAGTTTAAACGTTACGGTGTCTCCGAACACATTTTTGAGCTAATCGAGTATTTCCTATCAAATCGTGAAATGAAAATTATCCTAAAAAGTCACTCGTCTAGCTCCTTCTTTTTTTTTTTTTTACTAATGCGAGTGTCCCATAGGGTTCCATCCTTGGTCCAAATCCGTTTTGAATTTTTAATTAATGACCTTCCCGATGACGTCAGCTCTCAACTTGATATCTACGCTGATGACGCAACCATTGCTTCCCGCCTCGATAGTAAGGCTGATCAGATTAGCTTACGTTTATTACAAGCAGCAACGAATAGGTGCCTGTTGTGACGAGAGCAGTCACGCTGGTATAGCCGAAAATAGTATTTCCTAAGTGCTATAGCAGCCGAGCATGCTGGTGTGAATCATGGAGAGGAGTGAGGTTTTACTTGTACAGAATATTCTATTTCTGAGAAGAGATGAAGGCGTCATGCCGGCTTTGACCTAAGAAGAAACCTCAGTAGTGTAATTTTTAATTGGGAGGTTAAAGATACCAGTGCAACGGGTGTCACGAAGAATATCACAGTACTAGTTTCAGTTAGCATGCTTGTAACGGAAAGAGGTCTTATGGATGGGGAGCCCTATTTAATGGATGACTGGAACGAAATATCAATGGATACCGCAGAGTGGTACGAGTTTCCAAGTGGACAGTGTTTCGGAGCTCAATAAGAGCGACAAGAGCTGATGAGAAGTAAATCAATTAGAGATACCTGTTTCTCGGTTTTTGCAAGAGAAACAAGTAGGGGAGTCTACCATTTAAGTAAGGATGGAAACATTTAATGCCTGAATACCAGTATTTTAGAATGTTTCAGCCACGTTTCACGGTGAGCATTAAAGTCACCGAAGCAAAAGATGTTCACGGATGGATGGAAAGAAAGTGCCTTTTCTATACTGCAGTCCTAGGAGGAGGAGTGATAAAGGAAAAAGAAAAAAAAAAGAAAAGATAGCTAACAGAGTTCAGTAACGAATGACGGAAGCACATGAAAGGGTAGTCATGGGCTTCAAAAGATAATTCTCTGGCCATTTGAAGATTATCCCGGATGTAGACACCAAGGCCATGCATATGAATGCTTGAATCTTTTCGGCAGAGGGAAGATATCCTGAAACCAAGAATTCACGAGTAGCAATGGAAGAATTTAAGTTGGTTTCACATATCTGATGACCGTTCCGAGAGAAAAGATTCTACGTTGCAGGAGTTGTAATGGATACCCCGAATATTGGAGAAATAAAGGTTGATGGGGAGGCATGTGTTTTTTATAGGTTTAGTTGCATTTCATTTTATGGCGTTTTCCATGAGATTCATTTTAAGGAGAGGGAACAAAGGCCACATGAATTGTCTTTATCTCTCGTCAATGCAAACCAGCCAGGCTAAGGCTGAAAACAAAGCATAATGTGACCTCAGAGTTGCCCATCAGAAATACATCCAGGGAATGAAAATAAATATATATATATATATTCCCTATACACACGCGCATATATATATATATATATATGTGTGTGTGTGTCATTCCCAGACAGTACTGTTTCACTGATCTTCAGTGCGACTAAACATCCGGATGCCTCATGCCAGGATCGAAACCCAACCGATTTGGTGTCAGTCAGAGTTTCTACCACTGAGCTGACTTTACTCGACAGAATGATTCAGCTAAATCAAACGTATTGTTTTTACAAATGTAAACAAATGCCAATCAGCTGGAGCGCTCCATTCGTTTTACTAAAGAGCTTCGCAGGTGGCTGTTGTTTTTTTAGAATTAACTTGTCATTCAACAGCGCGGAATTGAAAATATTTTCAAGAGCTTAATTGTCATTCGCACACACACACACACACACACACACACACACACACACACACACACACACACACACACACACACACACACACACACGTGTGTGTGTGTTTGTATGTGTATGTATGTATATATATATATCATGAGTGCTGTAAGGCATTTGAAAATACTTGTACATGTGAATCACTATATTTTTGGGATACAACAGGAATCAATGGGAAAAAATGCACCGCATTTCCATTTGTGGTTTTCTGTTCAAACGACAAAAAATAATCTATTTTCGAAAAGAACACATGACACAGTGGATCCAGTGACAGGACCCAAAGAGTGGGAGTTCAATACCCGGTTATTGCAGTGAAGAACTTGGAGGGGGGGAATTAACAGGAGATAACTTATAACTGGCATCCATTAAACATGAACAGTCTACCCCAGTGACCGAAATAAAGGGTTCAGTTCGACATTCCAACCACCTGAAGAAGGCCTCAGCGTACAACAGCCGAAACGTTGTGATAAATACGACAACAAAAACGAGGATAATAGTCCAAATAATGTAAATAGTGTACATAATACCTCATCTCAGAAATATAGACAGATACGATAACAAATGCTGAACAATATTGTTTACAACAATATGGAGATAAAAGGTTCATGGGGAAAAAGAAGTGAGCCACTATCAACTAATACAAAAGACAGTCTGCATGCGAAGTAGGTGATGTGTATCTGGTGAAACTGGAATTGCATTGTGCATTACGAGTACCTCCCACAAAATCAGATGTATCTGTAAGATTAAAGGCAAAAATTGTTGTAAAGGCGTCCGGATTTGGCCAGTCAGAACTGTGTTGTCTTTCATCCTCACAACACCAGATCTCACGTCTCTTTGTGAGAAATTGATACAGAGATCATGATTTGTTGTTTTCTTTGCGTTTCCTCAGTCAGTCAGACTGACATTCTGGCCAACCTAGTATATATTCTTTTCTCTTTCCTCTTGTTGATGGAATTATATATGTGTACATATATAATTCTAACAACAAAAACATTACTCCAATCCGATGAAGTCCATGTAGACTCTAGATTTGGCAGTTTCAGCAAAATTTTAGAACGGGCTACTTTTTTGTTGTTGTACTTGTAATACTTGTGCTATTTGAAAATTTCAGAAGCAATCCTGATGATGTATCGTTATATCATTCGATAAAAGAAGAAAGATGAAGAAACAGCAATTTATACTTGCTAGACATATATTCCTTAAAAATGAATTTCATCCTAGATAATGGCTAAAAGTATAGCCTAAAGGGCTTGGATAAGCAGAACATTTTTTTATATGCTTTATGTCCCGAAAAGAAAACACTTATACGAACATAAAAAATAAATGAAAAGCTCAACGCATGTATGTATGTATATATATAACAGTAGACTTTATTATTTGTTATTGATTGTTATTTGTGTTTACCTGTGTGCATTCGTAGACATAAATATGTAAACAAATTATTAAACGTATTACGTAAATAATAACCAAATTATTATCATTATCATATATATATATATATATATATATATATATATATATGTGTGTGTGTGTGTGTGTGTGTGTGTGTGTGTGTGTGTGTGTGTGTGTGTATGTATAAATAAAAAGAAAGAACAGTAAGATATATAATCCGGTGTTCTTATAGATATTTTTATTTTTACAAAATAGTGCTCAATGTAAATTTACAGAGCATTAATATTAGAAATTAATTGAATTAAAAAGTAAAAGTATTCATTTTAAACAAATATATTTCAGCGTAATCTTTCCTTGTTAATGCACTTAATTGATTACTATGGATCACGTAGATCGAACACGATTCAATGAAAGTTTATTCCTGACATTAATACGGACTTATCGGTCCACCCACTTACGTTACTCCAGATTGGGCATCAAATCTACATATATTTTTTCTAAATATTTTCTTATATAAAAACATTAGATTTGCTTCCAACTTATTATTATTTTTTTTTGCTGCACTGTATGCTTATAAATTTGAGATCACTATTATCTTCCTTTTCTTTTTGTTTTGTTTATTGAATGTTTTCCCGCGTTTTTTTTTTTTAACCTAAAGTATTAGCAAAAGTACATTAAAAGAAAAATAGTCCTTTTTGCAGTTAAAAAAATTTCTTGACCTCTCTGGATAAAAAAAAATATTACTACTGTATGCAATGTCTCCCAACACACACGAAAAAAAAAAAAAAAAAAATGAAAGAACGGATTTACACAAGAAAAAGATTTGGAAAATCAATAAATTCTGTAAAGCGAAAGAAAATGTTTTTGTTTTTTTTACAGAAACTTATTTACACATTTACATCCAGAAATATTATCGACCACAAAAAAAAAAAAAAAAAAAAATACTAACTAGAATTCATGGGATAAAACAAAATTCGTCAGACTGATATTTCAAAACTGACAATGGATAAAGAATGCTTTTGTGATATACATGTTATGCCACTTTAAATTTATATAAATCTCTCGAAGCGTTTGTCTTATAAAGTTGATATGAAAGTTTCATTGATTACGTTTATACGTGCTTACGGCCATATCACGTTGACACACCGGTTCTCGTACTATCACCGGAGTTAAGCAACGTCGAGCCTGGTCAGTACCTAGATGAGTGACCGTTTGAATACCAGGTGCTGTAAGTTTGGACGTGTGGTTGGAGCAATGAATAATGGCTCAGAAAGGAACTCAAAGGGCCGGGATCCAATTGCAGTCAGATTTCTTTATTTTCACTTACATGCAAATATCCTTGGGAAAGGTATGAATTCACCTCTTCTCCCCTCAACTATGGGTTAAGAAGTATCACTTGTATCAGTAAATCATTATTACCCCCCCAAACCAATTCTTACACTCTAAAAATATTTTTTGGCTTTAAATAACCTTCAAAAATTTGATTTTTTTTTTTTTTTACAGCTTATCAATCAATCTGGCTTCCCTACGATCACCGAAGTTAAGTAACATCGAACCTGGTCAGTACTTAGATGGGCGACTGATTTAAATACCGGTTATTGTGAGTTTCGATGTGCGACTGGTTTAATGATTAATGGCTCAGAATTGTTAATCGGAGAGCCAAGTTTCAATTCCAGCCAGGTTCGCTATATTCACTTAACCTCAAATAGCCTTGGGAATGCTATGAATCAACCTCTTCTCCCTCCAGCTATGGGTTAATTAGTAAGACTTGTATCAGTAAAATCATTATTATCTAAAATAAATGCGCACAAAATTATTTAGATTTCGGCATTAAATAACCCATAGTGGTTGACATGCCGCTAAACAAAACCACCCAACCCATATTTGTATAATGTTAGATAAATTACTGCTCAGTTCTGTCTGTGCAACCATAACAGAGTTCAAAATCGATTACGCGATCGTGTGGATGATGAATTATTTCCTATCCAGCAGCACTAATCCCATTGATGAAACCTTGCTCGCCTCTCACTACTCTATCTCTATTACTATGGTAAATGTTCAGCCGACCTATATTCCTTATTTCCACTACTTCAACCCTTACCGCCTATACCATGTTAACATCGTCAAAATCACTTCGGATTTAAATAAATTACTCCTTACTCTTTACTCTCGAATATTGCTCAGTTCTTTTTAGCTTGTGCAATCAAATATAATGCGTTGTTTATACACCGTAGAAAAATTTCAGAAACTGGGAGAATGGGATTCCGCATGAAGTTAGGGAAACAGCCATTGGTCTGTTTTTAACCAATTATCTTCCTCTTTTTGCTCGATACAGAAAATGTCATTTAAGGACAAGATAGTCATTGACGTTGAAAAATTGGCCTATTACGGAAATCGAAAACGAAGATCATGGTTACATCAAGGACAGCCTTAAAATGTCCTCCCTGAACGGTATATACTAAGCAAAACGTTCTTATCTTTATTTGGACAAATTCAAAAAGACCTATTTGAAATAAAAATAAAAATAAAAAAAAACTCTTGTAATCTGGAAAAAAACGAAACCGTGTATGGTTAAGTTAACAATTGGCTTTTGTTTCAATGACGTAATAGAAAAAAAAAAAAAAACCTCAGGGAAATTCATGGTTGATTTCCTTTTCGCTTAACGTCTGTTTTTCATGCTGCAAATTCTACGAGGCAAAAGAGTCCCGCGACGTCCTGTCCGTCAACCCAGGTGTCACTTCTCGGACGAACCATTTTTCTGATCTACATAAATGATCTACCTAAGAATATACTCCGATCATTTGTAGACATCTGTACCGATAATACGACGATATACAGCTGGTTAAATTACATTCAATGCCGCTAAAAACAAACTAGTTAATTTCCATTACCACCGATCAGACCATCAGCCACAATGAATGGATATCCCCTCGAGAAGGCACCGTGCCTTGAGAGGATTATGGGCCTCAAACTCAAACCCGACCAAAGTGGAATATTTATATACGACCCATCGCTAAAGATAGTGGTAAAATGATCCCCCCCTGTACCGCTCTAGTAAGTACCTGAGTTCTTATGCTATCCACTACCTTTATAAGAACCAGATCAGGCTGAAAATGGACTACTTTTGCTATATTTCGGTGGGAGTTGCCCAGACCTCACATTCCAGTTTGGATAAAGATCAAAAGCATCTCCGAGGACATGTTGAAGAAGAATTATTTTCCACCGTCCAACCTCTCTCCACAGGCGGGATGAGGTGAGTCTCTAAATGAACTCTCACTACTACTATGAAACGAGCTCCATTTCTTGGTTCCACCAGGTATGACCTTCACGGCTAAAACCCGCCATGCCACTTACATTGTAGCAAACCTCTTTATTCCATCAGCAAGAAGGAAGTTCCACTCGATCAGCTTCTTCCCGCGAACCACTGCTCTGTGGAACAGACTCCCAATAGGATGTTTCCGCAATCACTACAATCTTAACCTGTTCAAGGCTAGAGTCCACAGTTATCGTTCCCTCCTAGCTATATAAACTACCCATTGATGTAACCTTCTACTTTGATTAGCCAGCAGCCCTATACAGAGCGAATTTTCCGGTAAAATAAAAAAAAAGTTAGGATGAGAAGTTCTTATGTATGAGTAGTGTTCTTCAGAGGTAATCGTTTTCAGCCTGTTTCCCAGATGTATTTGTTTTCAGCCTGATCTTCGGAGGTATTCGTTTTCAGCCTATTCTCCAGAGGTATTCGTCTTCAGACTGTTCTTTAGAGGTATTCGTTTTCAGCCTATTCTCCAGAGGTATTCGTTTTCAGACTGTTCTTCAGAGGTATTCGTTTTCAGCCTATTCTCCAGAGCTATTCGTCTTCAGACTGTTCTTCAGAGGTATTCGTTTTCAGCCTATTCTCCAGAGGTATTCGTCTTCAGACTGTTAATCAGAGGTATTCGTTTTCAGCCTATTCTCCAGAGCTATTCGTCTTCAGACTGTTCTTCAGAGGTATTCGTTTTCAGCCTATTCTCCAGAGGTATTCGTCTTCAGACTGTTCTTCAGAGGTATTCGTTTTCAGCCTATTCTCCAGAGCTATTCGTCTTCAGACTGTTCTTCAGAGGTATTCGTTTTCAATCTGTTCTCCAGAGCTATTCGTCTTCAGACTGTTCTTCAGAGGTATTCGTTTTCAGCCTATTCTCCAGAGGTATTCGTCTTCAGACTGTTCTTCAGAGGTATTCGTTTTCAGCCTATTCTCCAGAGCTATTCGTCTTCAGACTGTTCTTCAGACGGATTCGTTTTCAGCCTATTCTCCAGAGGTATTCGTCTTCAGACTGTTATTCAGAGGTATTCGTTTTCAATCTGTTCTCCAGAGGTATTCATCTTCAGACTGTTCTTCAGAGGTATTCGTTTTCAGCCTATTCTCCAGAGCTATCCGTCTTCAGACTGTTCTTCAGAGGTATTCGTTTTCAGCCTATTCTCCAGAGGTATTCGTCTTCAGACTCTTCTTCAGAGGTATTCGTTTTCAGCCTATTCTCCAGAGGTATTCGTCTTCAGACTCTTCTTCAGAGGTATTCGTTTTCAGCCTATTCTCCAGAGGTATTCGTTTTCAATCTGTTCTCCAGAGCTATTCGTCTTCAGACTGTTCTTCAGAGGTATTCGTTTTCAGCCTATTCTCCAGAGCTATTCGTCTTCAGACTGTTCTTCAGAGGTATTCGTTTTCAGCCTATTCTCCAGAGCTATTCGTCTTCAGACTGTTCTTCAGAGGTATTCGTTTTCAGCCTATTCTCCAGAGGTATTCGTCTTCAGAGGTATTCCTTTTCAGCCTATTCTCCAGAGGTATTCGTCTTCAGAGGTATTCGTTTTCAGCCTATTCTCCAGAGGTATTCGTTTTCAATCTGTTCTCCAGAGCTATTCGTATTCAGACTGTTCTTCAGAGGTATTCGTTTTCAGCCTATTCTCCAGAGCTATTCGTCTTCAGACTGTTCTTCAGAGGTATTCGTTTTCAGCCTATTCTCCAGACCTATTCGTCTTCACACTGTTCTTCAGAGGTATTCGTTTTCAATCTGTTCTCCAGAGCTATTCGTCTTCAGACTGTTCTTCAGAGGTATTCGTTTTCAGCCTATTCTCCAGAGGTATTCATCTTCAGACTGTTCTTCAGAGGTATTCGTTTTCAGCCTATTCTCCAGAGGTATTCGTCTTCAGACTGTTATTCAGAGGTATTCGTTTTCAATCTGTTCTCCAGAGCTATTCGTCTTCAGACTGTTCTTCAGAGGTATTCGTTTTCAGCCTATTCTCCAGAGCTATTCGTCTTCAGACTGTTCTTCATAGGTATTCGTTTTCAGCCTATTCTCCAGAGCTATTCGTCTTCAGACTGTTCTTCAGAGGTATTCGTTTTCAGCCTATTCTCCAGAGGTATTCGTCTTCAGAGGTATTCGTTTTCAGCCTATTCTCCAGAGCTATTCGTCTTCAGCGGTATTCGTTTTCAGCCTATTCTCCAGAGGTATTTGTTTTCAATCTGTTCTCCAGAGCTATTCGTCTTCAGACTGTTCTTCAGAGGTATTCGTTTTCAGCCTATTCTCCAGAGCTATTCGTCTTCAGACTGTTCTTCAGAGGTATTCGTTTTCAGCCTATTCTCCAGAGCTATTCGTCTTCAGACTGTTCTTCAAAGGTATTCGTTTTCAGCCTATTCTCCAGAGCTATTCGTCTTCAGACTGTTCTTCAGAGGTATTCGTTTTCAATCTGTTCTCCAGAGGTATTCGTCTTCAGACTGTTCTTCAGAGGTATTCGTTTACAGCCTATTCTCCAGAGCTATCCGTCTTCAGACTGTTCTTCATAGGTATTCGTTTTCAGCCTATTCTCCAGAGGTATTCGTCTTCAGACTGTTCTTCAGAGGTATTCGTTTTCAGCCTATTCTCCAGAGGTATTCGTCTTCAGAGGTATTCGTTTTCAGCCTATTCTCCAGAGGTATTCGTCTTCAGAGGTATTCGTTTTCAGCCTATTCTCCAGAGGTATTCGTTTTCAATCTGTTCTCCAGAGCTATTCGTCTTCAGACTGTTCTTCAGAGGTATTCGTTTTCAGCCTATTCTCCAGAGCTATTCGTCTTCAGAGGTATTCGTTTTCAGCCTATTCTCCAGAGCTATTCGTCTTCAGAGGTATTCGTTTTCAGCCTATTCTCCAGAGGTATTCGTTTTCAATCTGTTCTACAGAGCTATTCGTCTTCAGACTGTTCTTCAGAGGTATTCGTTTTCAGCCTA